TTGCTCTCTGGCCTTGAAGCCTTCTCTTTCATTTGAACACAGATTTCATCACTTTGTCACGTCAGTAGTAACAGAAGTAGTAATTAATGCAACGCAAGTTGCAGTGCAGTCTATTTAAGGCTGCAGAAATTGGAACTGGTCCTGCGTACTGAAGGCAGGTCTAACCAGCAATGCAAGTCCTGCACTGAGCTGCCTGCTCATTTCCTCACAGAAGAGAAAGTGCTGGATTGAGCAGAGCACCCACACTGCTCATGCACTTACGGAGCAGCAGAGCAGTGGAAACGCGCAGTCGGCCAACAAGCACATCACACGCTTGTCTGAACACGAGATGAAGCCTTGGTTTGTAAACAAAAAACCTACTAATTTCTCTTGAGAAGGTCTTAGCTGAACTTCCATTTCAGTCAGCATTTCCCATCTGTCAGCAAATATTTTTACTATTGTGTCAAAGGAATATATTGATCCTACTGAGGGCTGGCTTTTTATTGTTATATTTTATGAAGCGGAGTGTCCAGGAGGATGCAGAAATGGAGGATTTTGCAATGAAAGACGTGTCTGTGAATGTCCAGATGGATTTTACGGGCCTCACTGTGAGAAAGGTAATTTTTAAAAAATCGTCTCAACTGTTATTGTCCATGTTCTAATGGAAACATTGCTTACAGGAAATTGTTTTCTCCCTAAGAGATTGCTTTTAACAAAAACTGACACAGTAGTTAAGTGATCCTTAATCACAGGGAATCATCTGGCAAAAAGATTAAATAAAATTCTTCTGCTAATGAGGACTACCCAGGAAACAAAGCACAGAACTTCAGTTGTTCTGCATTTGTTTATTTGGAGCTAAGATCGAATTTGGAGGCAGGCTAACAGCAAAAATGGAAAGATGAAGGAAAGAGTCTCCTTTTCCGTTCCATTAGGGACTAGTAGCTGCAAACAACATTTCTAGGTGTGAAGGACCAGGAAACTGGTGTGACGTGGCGAGGAGACTAGCTCTTTTTCCTCACTCTTCCTTTGTCCTCCCCCAGTGGCAGACCTTCCCAGGGGAACCCGAGATGGAGCACACCATCCCCGTGAACATCCTATTCCCATGCTAATCCTTCACTCCAGATGCTCTGGCTACCTCCAGAATGTTAGGTACAAAGGATCAGGGACTGTTCTCTGGCCTGGAGATCAGCTGATACTGTGCAGCTTACATTTGTATGTTTAGTAAACACTCCTACCCTCGAAAAACCCTCCCTGCTGGGAGGAGCCCATGGCCGCTGCTCACCTCAGGGCCATGCCCGAGAGGGTTTGCCAGTCAGTTGGGGCCAAAGCCATGCCAGAAACAGCATCAACAATTTAAGGAGGAGGATGATCCTGTGCCCCCACATGGCCCCATGCCTGGGTGCTGTTTAACTCACTGGTATGGACCCAATCTGGTTGCATGTACCATTTGTGGGAACCACTAAATGAAGCATTGCCCCCCTGACATGCCTCCCTGGAAGAGCCTTGTGGGGTGGCCACAACTGCAGAGAAGTCTTGGGAGAGCACAGGGACTCTGGAGAAGGTTCATGGGGAGCATGCAGGACAGTTTTGCCACCAAACCTGGCTACACAGCAGGCTTCCCTAGCCTAAATTAGGTAGCCGTGCTTATGCTCAGGTGTGCACATCTGAGTTCATTGTGAACCTGTGCCTGGGAACCCCACCGAATTACCGACACCTCTGAGCACACGCCCCAAAGAGAGAGTCACGTCTGCAGAGCTGCAGCACCAGCTGCAGCACCAGAGTCCAGGTATAGAGAGGACTGGTCTGGGGAGGCTTCATATATCCAGAGGATGTAGGTGTGCATTTTGCTCTCCCCTGTTCGGAATTCAGCTGCACAAGAGGCAATTTCTGCTTACATATGGAACCAGATTTGAACTTAATTTAGTCTTTGCTTCTTTTGGTACTACGATACACAAATTGCTGCATACCAACCAGACGTGTAATTGATATCAGCCCCTAAAAAAGGTGCTCTGCAAAGGTGACTTATTACATGCAGCAGGAGGAAAAGTAGCTTGAGGAGTCAGTGTGCCATGTATTTACACAGCCAGCTGCTGTCACACCAGTGATGTTTTTTCTGTTCTTCCTGCTCCTCAGCGCTCTGTTCCCCTCGCTGCATGAATGGTGGGCTCTGCATTACACCCGGACTCTGCATCTGTCCCCCGGGGTTCTACGGCATCAACTGCGACAAAGGTAACTGCCTGCCAGCCAAAACCCCCCAGGCTCCGTATCCAGCAGCTCTCTCTAACTGCATTAGTTTCTCTCTAGGAGTGTGTTTTGGAATGTCAGACAAGTGGTGAAGTAAGTAAATTTTAAAACTTTTGAGATTCTTCAAATAAGTGCTCTAGCACAACCTGGCAGCTGCTGGAAGAATGTAGGGATTTGCAGTGCTTTCACAGCTGGATGTGCAGGCATCCATATACGCCAGCTAGGTAATTGCTTTAGTTGGTCCACTGAAAGCTGTGGGACCTACCACAAAATTCACTTATATTTCTGGCCTAGGAGGAAAAAAAATCTATTAGAATTCTAGTTTCCTGGAGAAAAATTAGTTCTACTAATTATTCAGTACATTAATTTCCTGCTGCATCTGGGCACATGAAAAAATAAGCAGGCTATTCATTTTTTTGTTACTGCATTATGACTCAGAGAGCGTAAAAAGAGCAATCAATTGTTCAGAACAGTAATTTGGAACAGTTCAAGCTACCACACAGAAAAAAAATTAGAGTAGTTTCCTGCAGAAATCTAGCTGACCTGCTCATGCAGAGCAGATTACAGAGCATCATGTGCATTTATGGTTGCAGAACTATATGAAGTAAAGACTAAATGCAAAAGGTCCTAGCAGGATTGCCAGCAAAATAATGGGAACTTGCCTAGGCCTTTAGGTATGCTTGCTCAAACTGTTGTTGTAAATGTCCTTCTGACTTGTATCTAACTCTTGATGAGACTTTTACCACATTTAAAAAATGTTTCAAAAGCGCACTGTAGTGGAATGCTCACAGTGTCTTGAAGGATTAATGTGAATCCCAGCTGTTTGGTGAAAAGTCAGGTCTGACACAATGTAAGTAATTTGGCAGGTGACAGACACAGCATTTGCATCTATGTCACCACACAGCAAAAACGTACAAAGGTTTCTTTCTAGTCAGGGCATTAATTGAGAACTGTAGTGAAGCAACCGCTTGAAGAAGTAACTTCCAGTCCTAGGTTGTGCTCCTTTTATCAGACATTGTCATTTTCAATAGCAATAATGCCTTGATCCTTCAACAAGCTTTACGTGTGAGGGTTGATAAAGATGTTACACAACTTGTTTCAGGGATCTCATTGCTGTATTGTTCACTTGCTTCTTTCTGTATTGACTTGGGGGTGTGGCCGTGTAAAGCATTATGTAGGAAAAACCGTGTTTCAATCTTCCTCTGTAAACCAGATATAAAGACGTTAATGTAACTCTTAAACCTATTCAGTGTTTATGATGAGCAGCAGAAGACATTATGGCCAAGTCAGACTTGGTTTATCCCTGTTTTATTTATTTCAGCAAACTGTACAACAACCTGTTTCAATGGAGGAACATGTTTCTATCTGGGAAAATGCATTTGTCCTTCGGGCTATGAAGGAGACCAATGTGAAATTAGTAAGTAGCATCTCCATGTGCTGGCTTTCACTTACATCAGCTTCCTCTGCATCAGTGTCTGAATGATGACATGCAGACAGTCTGCCTTTGCTGGGCTCTCAGCGAGGGTCTCACACGGCCGGCTGTGGCCCTCAGAGAGTCGGATGCCACATGCTCCGAATGAGTTTCCTACTGATAAGTTTGACTCATTGCTAGACCATCTCATCCCCTAACTTGTTTTGGTTTTACTAGTAACAGGGCGAGGCAACAACCTGCAGGCAATACTCTGTGGCAGACAGATGTGCTGCTGTGCCAAGCCTATGTGGAGCAGCTTATTTTCAAATGTTACAGCAATTTGCACTTGGACACAGTAGATTAGGTTTGAGCCTGTGCCTCTGAAAGGGCTGCCGTAAGCTGGGAATGAAAGGGTTTGGGGCAAAGGGAGGACTGAACCGTAAGAGCTGAGAGCTTTCATGTAGCATATTAAGTTGCATTCACATGGCAACTTGAAAATCTGTGTCACAAACATCAAAAAACTTGGTATTTTCAGAAGTTTAGCATCAAAGCAATTCAAAATATGTTAGCTCATGGCTAATATAAGTGTGCTGTGTAAAGCTGGGGGTGGAGATGTGGTGAGGCTGGAACAAACCTGGGAGGTCAGCTGTCAAGTATTTGATCTCACTAAAAGAAGGGTTTTCTCACAGCTCTGTTAAATTGGATTAATTCTATAGTTCCCCACACTTTAGAATGGAATCTGAGTGTTTCAGTTTTGAGAACGTATGCCTGAGACGTTCTTTCTGGGCTTAAAGCTTCTAAGAGGATGTTGTGCAAGGAGCTTCCCTTGCTGTAAGTAATCTCACTGATGTTCCCCAGAACCTTCACCAGGGCACGGAGAGCAGCATTTGGTCTGGGATATGTAAGAGCTGGTTTCTTAATACGCATCAGCAGAGACAGGAAATTTGTGTCGCCATATACTTTGGAAACACCTGGAAAAAAACTCTAACGTGCTGTCAGGCAGTACAGGACCATAAATGAATTACTGTGCAAAGAAAGAACACGGATACCGTAAGATCTACATGTTGCTCAGGTTTTCTGTGTAGACACACAATAGATGTATGTAAATATTTCACCATACCCCTATGCATTACAAGGCATTTTGCAAATCTTTTTTCTTTTAATCTCATCAAAACTTAAGCCAAACAGAAGCAGCAAAGCTTTATTGTTATTAAATTAAGAAAGAATGCACTTCACTAGAAAGTCAGGTAAGATATTGGCAAGAACAACAGTGTGGGTTTCCATTGAATTTACCTTTGCCTAAATCAAGTTCAAATTTGACACTCTAACAGAACCCCATCTTTTTTCAGTCCCCAAGAAGTCAACTTTGTTGATACTTCCCAGATGATGAATAAGGTTTGGTTCAAAGTTTGAGAAGCATGTATTTTATGTCGGCAGTGGGGTTTTTTGAGAAGAATTCTTAGAACTGATATTACAGTCTGTATAATTAAGGGTAATCTGTTTAACTGATCTGTGTGAGAGGCTCAAGCTCTTTGTTGCCTACTGCTGCCCAGGACAGATGCTTCTTGTAAAGGCTTACCTGTGCAACTCAAATTAAAGACAGTAAAATACAGACAGTAAACTTCTTCCTGTACACAAAAAAAATTAAAAATCAGGATCACAGTATGCTAAGAGCTCAACTGGAATCGTGTCGATGAGAACAAGGAAAGCTATGCACTTGCTTTGGCTTTTGTAAAGCTGGGACGGCAATTGTTAGACTGTGATTGATGGCTGCTACCACCTCTGGGGACTGCACCAGTGCCAGCACAGCAGTGGAAGACTGCAGGAAGTGCTAGACAAGGCTTAGAAACACCAGAGGAGAAACACAACGCAGCCTCTTTTCTTAGATCCAAGGCCAGCTACATTCAGTTGTGGGAGTCCTGAAATAACAAGGGGAGAAAACCTTTCAATAGGCAGAAAGCCATCTTCTGAAAACCGCTAAGTCCTTTCTTTTTTCTTCTTTTAAAATATTGTTTAAAGATTTTGAGTGCTTGTCTAATAGTTGAATCACTCTGTAAGATTCCTGGGAAATGTACTGGGCCCAGTCTACAATACTAATAAGCATTCACAGTCTTGCAGATTTCTTCTAGCTATAGTTATAAATTGTCTCTATTTGGTGTTTCAGTTTGAGTCCAGAGAGTTTTATTTTGTTTTGGATTCCTCCCCTATTTGTCACCAACTGTTTTGTTGATTTTTCCATTTCTCAGTCAATAACAGAGAGAGTTTTTACTCTTGCCTTCATTCTGTGAAAGTATCCGAGTCCAAAGTTAACTGAGTTGTGCTGAGCCAAATGCTTGTCCAGTGCAACTCTGTGGAAGTTGGTATCAGACTTCTTGACCCGTATTCTCCAGATTTACTTCAAGAACTAGGTAAATTCATGCATTTCCTTAGCATTGCTTCTTTTGGTCATTAATTACTTGGGATCCACATGCTTGTAGATTAGAATACCTACAGGTTCCCTCTCCACAGGCTTCTGTGGGGAAATTGTGCTTTTGCAGAAACTCTCCTTAGCACATTTTATTCCGTCAGCTGGTTATGAAGCTTGTTTCAGGGCCTTATGAACAAATGTTTCTTTTATATTGATGATACACACACAGGCATCCCAGAAGTCTGCCGAGGCTGAGAGCTGAGCAGGCACTGGCTGGGCTTTTGAGCTCCCAACGGGGCTGTCTCTGGTCAGGAGGTGAGTGCATTTGCTGAGGTTTTCAGCACAGCAAACTAGTGTTGATCCTTACATTATCATGTTGAGGTCTCAGTTAACATCCTTTTTTTAAAAAAAAGGAAAGGAAAAGAAGCAGTTTGCTGCCTCAGATTCAGGTAGATAATTCAGTGCTAAATCTAGGAGGGGGGTGCTTTTTTCCAACCCTCTTTTCTGAAGAATCTAGAAAATATTCTGGGATTAGAAAAGATGAAAAAAGGTTTTGGACAACAATGAGAAAAGCTGCACTGGTCCATATGGCCACCGAGTAGGTGAGGGACTGAGGATGTAGTTCCTGCTAGGGGTGAGTGAAGACTTAATTAGTTCAATAATCCAGACAATTTCTAACAAGGGATTAACAGTATGGTGATGGGAAACTTGATGTCAAGTTTGAGAAAGGCCCTTGGTGTGAATCAGGCCCAGCAGGAACTTGAGTATGGATCTCCTCCACCAACGTGATCGTCCTCCATCCCAGGCAAGTCAAACCTTCCTACAACAGTGCCATCAGACCCAGCCTCTTCCTTTGGCAAAGCATGAACGTGAGGGAAAGTAATTTCCAGACCAAAAGCCTTGAAATATGTCTGCCAGTTCTAATTACTGCTACCAGACATGCTCTGTTCTTTGCAAACAGGGAAGAAGGACATGCTTTTTTTAATGAGCCTTTGGTTTCTGAGCTGTGGTGTGCACAGCCCTCATTGCAGCACCCACAGCACCCTGCTGCTCCACAGTCTCTTGTTAGAAGCCAACAGGCCCAGCCAAACTGTTGTCTGCAAGTTACTTCCTGAGCATCCTATTGCTTAAAATCTGTCTCAGAGGCCACCAGATTTTCTTCTGCTCATGCTCCCCGGGTATGGATCCCACTCTGGAAACACCAAGTCGGGACAGCGCTGCCACCATCGTGAAGGATAGGGAGAGCAGGAGGCAATAGTGATGGGTCACACAGGGTTGCACACTCTGCAGAGTCTGAGCGGCTGAAATCTGGGAAAAAGCTGCATGGAGTCATGGACTTTGGCCGTGCCGATTGTCATATCTTCAAAGCAGAAGAATCCATATAAATTGGAAGCACAGACTTGCAGCAAAATCTTCCTGATAGATCCATAATCTACAATCTAATACCAGGATCTGATGAGGTTTTTTGGGTACAAATCAAGCTTCTGAGACACTTACCTACAGTAGATGCAGGGAACTAAGACCATTTTTTCCTGTCTTCAATTTCTAGGTAAATGTCATCAGCCCTGTCGAAATGGAGGCAAATGTACTGGCAAGAACAAATGCAAGTGCTCCAAAGGCTACCAGGGAGACCTGTGTTCAAAGCGTGAGTACCAAAGCCACTCCGTTGGTCCTTGTTGTTAGAGCATCGAGCTGGTTGTACAGTGCCTTTTTTCATAATGTCAGCAGTAATTTTATGTTGTCATAGTATTTCAGGTTAATTTACTTCCTGGACATGCAGAATACACAAGACTTTAGGGAATTATGAAACCAGAAATGTGGGGTTTTTTGCAAAAGCCTCCCCATATTCTCTTCTGTGCTCTGAGTTTCTATAGAACAGCAATGTGTCAGCTCAGTAGTAACAGTTTGGTAACAGAGAAGTGCTTAATAAAATGTCAATATGTTGCAATGTTAAAGTCCAACAAGAGCACTTTGTGAGAGGAGACTACCTTTCTTCTCCTGCTGGTTCTGGTGGACACTCAGCTCTGCTGCTCTGTCTCCTGCTCTCTGCCAGAGACTGAGACAGACCTTGCAGGTGAAGGGGGGATGTGAACTGTTTTGGGGCTCTGCACATGCTCAGTGCAAAAGCACAGATTTACTGGGAGAGCCCCAGCCCATGCCAGGATCAACCCATCATGAGGAGCAGCAGGGAAAGCAAACATGCAACTCTGGATGGAATGTCAGTAGGTCAGGTGTATGCACTCGCTTTCTTACAGCTGTCTGCGAACCCGGCTGTGGTCTCTACGGCACCTGTGCTGAGCCCAACAAGTGCCAGTGCAAGGAAGGCTGGCACGGGAGACACTGCAATAAAAGTAAGTGAGAGACAAACCACAAGTGTCTATATCGGGGCACCTTAGACATCTGATGCTATACAGAAATGACTGCTTCCAAGAGCCTTTCCAGCATCATTAATGATACTGGCACTCCTTTTTTTTTCCCTCTAATCTTTAATCCAAACAATAAAGCTAAGATTTTCAATATGCTGTCATTTTAACTACTTAAATAAAACTCAGAGGTGCTTGAGATTGTTTTACCAAGATCACTCTTGTATAAGAAATTCCAAAATCTGATGTTTTCTAGATGACCTTGTGATTTCTAGATGACCTTACAACGTCTTCTGCTATGGAAGAGATCTAAAGTCCTTTAGTATTGCTTGGTAATGCCAGCTAGCTTTGAAATGTTGGGTAGGCATTTTTAGAAATAAAAATCTATCAGGTTTTAAAGCTGACTAAAGCTTAAAAAAAATGAAACATCCTTTGGAAACTCTTGGGAAATCTTGAAGAATAATGCAAGATCTAGGCATACTGCCTTGAGAGTTTTCTCCTCTTCCCACCCGTGCTCTACAGACTCCAAAATATCTTGTCACAAAGAAAAATTAACGTCCTCAGAATGAATTTTTCTTGTGCTTATTTGTCCACTTGACACCTATTTAAGAAACCTATCATTTCACTGGGTTGTTTGAAATACTATTGGATGTATCCAGCAAGAACTTCAGATTTAATTTTATATTTCATGCACGACAGTGCTCTAACAGAAGATCTTCAAAAGACATATCTCTTAGAAGATATTAATGTTTATCACTATAAGCTAATGATTCACATTTAATGTTTTAAGTCGATAATAAACTTGAAAAATTCTGCAGCCATAAAACCCACTACTTCGCCATAAGAAATGTGAACCTTATATTGCCCCTTCAACTGAAAATTCATTTTTATTAAATGCTGTTGATGCCAGTGATTTCTATTCCATTAAAATATATTAGAGCAACTATAGTTGTTTCATTAAAAAACTCGTATTATCTAACCAAAACATAAAAATTAGGTTTGGAGAGTCCACTTTGCCGCTGTTAGTTAATGGACCTCTCTTTAAATATTCATGCCATTCTCTGAAGGAGAAATATCATTAACTTAAGTTATAGTTAGAAAAAAGGTACGTGGAAATGAGCAAATACGAACTTCAGTTCATAAGCTCAGTATGAATTTTGTCTTCTTGTCATGCTATTCTTATAAAGGACTCAGCAAGTGAGAAAAAAAAAAGTGTTGTGGGTGACTATCCCCAAAGAAGTAATTACCTGTACAACAAACCCAAAACTCATAAATACCTTGTTATGGGGAGTCAACAGTCACACGTTATTGTCCGCTCCAAGTTTTTCCAGCCTTCATTACTTGAAATTTGGGTACAGTCCTGCTGTATTTAACACTGCAAAACTCTCTTTGTATTCAGCGAAGAAGCTAAGAACAGGCCATTTGAGTAAAATTCACCCCCGTTTTAAATGCCCACATAGGGCTTAAATTCAATATACAGGTGCATGCACTGCAATTCACCCTTTTCAACTAAAATCTGACACCTCCTGATCTTGAGAGATTTATATCTGAGTCTTGCTTCACAATCCGTCAAATGAATGGCTCACTGGTAAAGCTGTTTTCTTAAAAAGAAGTGGTTAAAAGTTTTGAACGGGGAACTCTGTTTTTCAAAGTCGTTTCCATGAGCTTTAACTAATGAGGAAGGTAAATGAAACCATAAAAAATTACAACATAATACTTTGAATTCCATTTTTATTGTTCATTTTCATTTTCCACAACAAAGCAGTGCTGCTAAGCCTCTTTCAGACGGCTTTTTTTTTTTTTCCTCCCCCTGCTAGGTGTTTACTGTCACTGCTGTTCTTGCTCTTTGCATTCAGCCATAAACCAGAGCCAAGCTCAGGTAGATTGTCTGTGGCGGGAGGATGCTTACACCCCTCTTCAAAGCCCATCGCCAGCAGATCGATGTGGCACTCACCCGCCTGGCGTGGGTTGTGCATGTGTGGAGCCAAGACCGGGTGACAGCCTGGGCGTGCTGGTGGTCTCCTGGGCTCCCTGGCGAGAGGAGAGCATCCTTCCATCTTGGCAGCACCTCATCCATCCCAGGGGGAGGGGGGAGCACAGAGAGGGGCGAGCGCTTGCGTAAAAAGCATAGCAAAATCCTTTGTTCAAACGGGGGAGACTGTTTCCATTTGAAATATTAGTTGTGGATCACGAGCCCACTTCTGTGGTTTCTTTTCTCTTAAACCGGATAATTTTCCAGGGTACGGAGCCAGCGGTCTGAGCGCCCTGAGGCCGGCAGGCAGCAAGCACAGGCAGCACACGCCTTCGCCAAAAAGGGCCGAGGAGAGGCATGTTCCACCCGAATCCAATTATATCTGGTGAACTCCAACATCTGAAATGGTTCGTGTTACACAAAGTTCATAGCCTTCATTAACCTCTCATGGATTGAATGTTAAAATGCTGTTCATTGCAGTTAAGATTACCGGCTGGAATTTTATTAGCTTCGTTATAAACCACTGAGCTGATATTTACTATTCCTTTTAAGTTTTATAAATACTTCTATAGCATGCTTTGGATGGTGTTTTGTACTATACTTCAGTTACTTTTAAACTTCCTTCTTTGATTATATAGCGGCACATATTTTCCAAAAATGAAGTAACGGTATTCAAGCAGAAAACCTTGTAGATGCTAACCTGAATCATTTCAATGACTACAGATTTAATTTGCCTAAGATAAAAGAAAGGTACATTTTACATTTTTGCTGTTGTGTTATTAGGTTTTTCCCTAAGAAAAATAAATAAATAAGTTGCCCAGTTTAAAAGCTGAATAATTCAATTCAATGTTATTGTTGGCCTTACCATTTTGCAAAGTACTGTGTATTAAAAATACACTGCAGTGTTGACATTTAACCAACGTAATATATTGTAAACAAAGTAGAACTATAATGTACGAGCTTTCTACACCGGCTTGAAGCAATATAATATATTGTAAACAAAACAGCTCTTATGTAATAAACTTTTTGTACTGACTGTTATGTATAAAATAAAGGTACTACTTTAGTTTTTCGAGTGATACTCTGTGTGGCCTGCTGCGGTCTCATCAGTGCCGGGTTGGGACGATGGCTTTTCTAGAGCAACCTTATAAAATCCTCCTTCATGTCCTTCTTTCCCCTCAAGAAGTGCCAGCCAGCCTCACCAAGTTCACGTGCTTTCTCCATGGCACCTCCAGTACCTGAGATATTCTTCTCCAAGCCTCTGTCTGAACAGATAATAGTCCAGCCCTGGTGATGTTTCCTGTTCAGGAGGGACGCACCCGTGTCGTGTTCAGACTGTAGAAGGTTTGGGTGCTGCCTCTTGCAGTGGTCACGGGCCACAGAGTTTGTTACGTGCTGTGGGTAGAAAGTGATGAGAATGGTTTCTGTCCACGCTGAAGAATAATATCCAACAGATGATTACTGACATTTGCTATACTGCAGTTCTGGGAACCATATTATCTGGGACATAAATAAATAAATGTAGCCTAATTCATGGCATAAAATAATCTTAATGAGTGAGAGGTTTTGAGTTACAAAGGAAAAAGTCTAGTTTATTAACCTGACCTTGCTGGTCTTGCTTAGTCAATGGACACTTAGGCCAAAAGACTTGCTTAGGCCAGAGAGAGGGAGGACAGCTCTCTAGGGATGCATTTGTACATGGTCCTTTGTGTGGTGGGAACATAGATGTTGCTCAGCAAGCCTGATCCAACGGGAGACCAGCCCCGCATCGCCACACGTGGCTGCAGCTCCACAGATCGGGTGCAGGGAGAAACGTGGCTGGGGAAGGAGGGACAGGGCCTGGCCAGCCCCCCATTACACCTGAGACGATAACGAGAAACAGCCTGAACGAGGTGGTTTGGCCACTTGCTTGATCTCCTCCTCTGGGATAGCAATAAAACAGCTCAGGTCTGCTGAAGAACTTCTTAGCATGGATGTCTAGCAGCTTTGCCTGGTGGGCTCCAAAGTGGTTGTCCCTCAGGCTTGTGCCTCCCATGGGACCTCCAGCACTTCTCCGGGACTGGGATGGGGCCCTCGGGTGGCAAAATAGGTGAGCTGGGTTTTTCTCTTCACAGCAAAGGCGGCTGTGGTGCAGGGGAGGAGCTCAGCCTCTGCCCCAGGCTCTGCTCTCCCAAAAGCACCTTCTTCAGATCTAAAGAGAGTGGGAACCAGGTGGCCTGAGGCACAGGGGAAGACATCTAGGTGATGAAAATCCAGGGGAAGTGTTGAGGAAGGAAACATTTTTCAAGATTTTCCTTAAACACAATGAAAGGAGGAGGTTAATATGAGGCTTCTCTGTATCTTCAGGGCTAGGGTGGGCCAGGAGCCTTTTTATAAATGTGATTGTCACATTTGCTAGGTTTTGGCTCTTTCTGTAGCGAAGATTGGCTTGAATGATGGTCACATGCTACAGTAAAAGCACAGAAATTCCTTAGATATTTTGGCTGAACTTTTTCTGCTCCTGTCACTTTCTTAGAAAGTGCTTCCTTAAAAATAGCAAGTGTATTCTTTTATATGGAGTAATTTGTTTTGCTACTTGTTCCAAAGGCACTAAATGCTGCTGCTTTGTTTTTGGAGTTTCACCGCTGATTTTTGGAAAGATCATTAATCATGAGAAGAATATGGTTGGAAAGGCTATGAAAGGAAAAAATATTCCTCAAAGTGCACACTGTAACATAATTCTTTTTCTTCAAAAACATCAACTTTCTACACACAGATTTTCCACTGCTTTGCCTTTAATGTCAGCGTCAGCATGGTTTCCTGTGTAGAGGCAGTTCCTCATGTCAGACAAGTTTTAAGTCAAAGTCCGTGACATCTGACAATGCTAAAAGACATTAACTCCTCAAAAAAAGTCTAGTAGTAAATTGGAAGCAATGTTGCCACTACAAAAAAAACTACAGAATTTATGACTCCCTCTCACTGGACAGGACATATGTGTGTGCCATAGATGAAAATCAGTTAAAGGAAAATAATAAGACAAGTCAAAATATGGATCTACTACAATAGGTCAGACGGAAACTGCCTTTTCACTGTTTGGAAAGTTTGCAGTTAGCCAGAGCAAGATGCCAAATGTTGCACTTGTGAGCAGCAGCTATGAGGTGATTCAAAGTGGTAAAAGAGCATAAAAAGTTAAATTATTGCAGCTCTATCCCAGAAATCCCAATTTAAACAACTGACAAAACTATAGCTTTATAAAGTACTTCTACTAGTGCTTGACAATTTATATATCTAATACTGTCATCCTGCTATTGCCAGGTGTGCACAACAGTTCAAGGGACAAATACATAAGGCACAGAAATAAAGCAGACACAGACACCCTAAGGGCAAACTGCCTTTTTTATAGCGCTGCCATTAGCGAACCAATGCACGTGGAGGGGTTTCTGGTAATTTAGTTTAGGTTAGTATCCTTTTAACTCCAGCTATGCAGCTTGATTTCAAATATATCACTTTTAACACCTCTTAACTTGATTCTCTGGGAGCTGGAGAGAATTTGGACCTTTTCTTGTTTGTGATGCATGTGAACTAGCAGCAGAAGTTTGTTACCATCTGCAAGAGCAAAGCAAGTGCCACAGGGATAGAAGGGGCCGGTGAACACCCGGTGATGCTCACAGGTTGTCTCAGACCAGACCAGCAGGCAGCAGTGGCTTCTGGGACCCTGGCACCCTTTTCTCACGTGGCATGATTGCATGGTCCAGTTCTTCTTCTTCCAGCATCACCTGCATTTCAAGGAATATTAAAGTAAATGAAAGGGATAAAGCAAAAAAATTCAAAGCTGTTCCAGATTACTTGCTGCCTGTAAGATTCAAACTCCAAAAGCCAATCCCAAAGTTTGGCCAGACCTAGTGCTATTAGTTCAAACACTGCAGCTTTGTTTCTGCTGGACAGATTTGTTACCTTTCCTTCCCTCTCACTTCTCTACGTCACCTCTCCTACTGAGTTGCCCACTATGGAAAAAAATCCTACTTGCAGATAGTACTAAGGGAAGATCTGGCAGCAGCAGAGCAGGACCTGCCTGAAGTGGCCTGCGGTTATGCTGGGATTCCTCCAATGCCTGTCCTGCCCTTGGCACTGCGTTGGGGGAGTGTTGAGGCATCCACAGTTTCACAGCAGCTCCAGCTCTTGCAGTCATTTCAGCCCGAGTCTAGAGAAACTGCATCAACCAAAAGTCATAAAGTCATAGAATCATAGAATCATAGAATCATAGAATGGCCTAGGCTGGAAGGGACCTTAGAGATCATCTAGTCCAACCTCCCTGTCATGGGCAGGGATGCCTCTCAATTAGATCAGGCTACTCAAGGCTCCATCCAACTTGGCCTTGAACACCTCCAGAGAGGGGGCAGCCACAACATCTCTGGGCAATTTATTCCAAAGTCTTGCCACCCTTGTACTGAAGAATTTCTTCCTAAGGTCCAATCTAAATCTATTCTCCTTCAACTTAAACCCATTTCCCCTTGTCCTATCAGTGGACACTCTTGTAAAAAGTCCCTCCCCAGCCTTCCTGTACGTTCCCTGAATTCAGGTATTGGAAGGCACCTATTAGGTCCCCCCGAAGTCTTCTCTTTTCAAGACTGAACAGTCTCAGCTCCCGCAGCCTGTCCTCGTAGCAGAGGTGCTCCAGCCCCTGGATCATCCTTGTGGCCCTCCTCTGAACACACTCCAACAGATCCATGTCCCTTTTATGGTGGGGACACCAGAACTGGACGCAGTATTCGAGGTGGGGTCTCACAAGAGCAGAGTAAAGGGGGAGAATCACCTCTCTTGACCTGCTGACCACGCTTCTCTCGAAATATCCCAGGATGCGGTTGGCCTTCTGGGCTGCATGAGCGCACTGCCCTCTCATCTATAATAGGGATTAAATCCTACTAAATCATGTAGGTTTTGCAGTATGAATATGACTTCATGTTCGGTGAGGTGATGAGATGCTGTGATAAGCGAGGTCATACCCAAACATTAGATAATGACCAGAAACACCCTCTGCAGCTCTAAACTGTGCTGACAAGATTGGCCCACGTGATGCTTTAAATGAGAAAGCAACTAGTTAAGAAAAATTCTCAAGTGAAACGAGTTCCAGTTGTTATTTTGTCTTGCAGCTCTCTGATGAGGTGGCTGCTGAGTTACAGGCCAGTAGTTAGTGCTGGCTCCCAGCACCCAGCTTCTGCTGGAGCACAGTTATTTGAACACTCCTTGTTGTCCGGCTGGAGGCAACTTCCCAGCCCAGCCGCACAGGTTTGCTGATGCTCAACACTGACTGAAAGCTGAACTGGGCACAGAACAAACAGGTTAAGAGAACAGGAGGGTCTGGAAAAATGCATGCATGCAGACCTGAGCAGATTTATTGCTTACCTCTGTGGCTTTCTGAAGTTCACAAAGTTCAGATTATATTAATTTAAATGAACCATAATAATTTAAAGTTGAAAAAAAGCACTCTATATTTTTGGCTTAGAACAACATATTCTAATATTTATACTAGTTTCAGAAATTGTATTTTAATCTCTTTCCACATTGCCCATCAGAGGAGAGGAACAGCCTTGTTGCACAAATCTTTCCATGGAAATATGAATTTTTCAGAGGGTTTAGCACGCATACCATATCTGGACAAACCACAGCTCATAAACAGTTCAGGTGCTTACATGGGACATTCTCACAAATCCTTTCTAACACTTTTTTTCCTGATGTATCCTTTGAGGATCTTATGGCTGAGCAAGGAGGAGAGGGCAGTCTGTGCATTAAGGACATACTTTGCAGAAGTGATCTCTCTCCTCCAGCCTAGTCTACAGGGATAAGCTCAAATGTCAGGCATACTCGGTGTCCAGCTGCTTCTGGGGTCATGTGCCCCAAAATGACAGAGAAGCTATGAAATGTGCTGCTGGCTTCAGTATCTGGCCTTGCTGGTGCTCCCTGGGGACACCTTCGGCAGAGAAGAAGGTGAGGCTGCAAATGGGGCCTCACAGTACCCAAAAAGAGAAACCAAAGAGAAACACCTCTTTTCTTTTCTTCATAACTATTTGAATATTTGTCAAGTTGTTTGAAAGAGAA